CACACACTCCCAGCGGACACCCCGCGGCAGTAGCCCCGGCCGCGGAGCCCGGGGCCCGTGCGGCGGCCGGGCGCGGGCAGGGCGCCGCCTCCTGCGCCTCAAATAGGCCCAGCCACTGCAAACACCACCCTTGGCTAAGGATGGGCAACGTTTTCTCCCTGGAAAACAGTATTCCCAGAAGCTGCTGCAGAGAGAGGCGTAAGGATAAACAATCTAAACGAAGCACTCGGGTACCACAGTAAAAGGAGACCGCACAAGTGAAATAAAACATCAAACATTGCGTTGTTTTGAGAGAAAAAAAAAACACTAGTGGCTTATTTCTACAACCAAAAAATGATATTTTGGTCACTAATGAGCGTTACAAAAAAATAGTAACTGCACAGTGGTCTCACAAGCACATCCTAAGCAGTTCTATAAATGCAGCAAGTCTCACAAGCAAATCCAAAGCAAATACACAAGTACTGTAATTACTTATGATTAGAATGTATTCTTTGTGCTTTTAGTAGGTATCCCATTTCTTCTGATACTGAGATATCTTGACTAAAACATTCACCATGACTCCCAGTTCTGCTTACTTTTCACAGAAAAGTATTGTTAACAAAAGGTGTCATCTAAGGGTGGTATTTTGTGCACAGGTGTTTCTGCAAGTGCGTGAGAACATTTTGAAAGTTACCCCTCTGATTGCAAACTGGTCTTTGCAAATAAGCATGAGGGGAGAAGCACCTGAAGTTATTCACAAAGCCCAACACCTGGAGGAGTGAGCACGAATCCTGCAAGGTGAGATCTTCAACAAAGCAGAACCACAGTGAGATTAATGATCCCTTTCTCCGACAAAATCCCATCTGTGCTGGATTCTGTCTTCTGGAGTAATATCAAGGGAAATTTCAAAAGCAAAATGAGCCTAAAACAGCAACAAGCAACAACAAGGCTATTGCCAACTGTGTGACACGACACCCAACATCAGACACATCATGCAAATTTGCAGAGTGAGGCGGCAATTACAAGGAAAATCAATCCAAAACATTGATCTGAAGCAGAAAGAGACAGACGTACACTAAGATCACAGGAATACAAATATTAAAAATCATAGTGCTAAACCAAAGAAGAATACACAAAGGCTAAAACACCCCAGGATACGTGCCAGAAGGCTTGAAGTCAAATCCTCCTAAGGTTACATAGTCAAAATGGTATCATCAGAGATGTATGGCTACACATACATCACACCATCTTCTTCCCCCCCCCCACCAATGGAATCTAATGATGAACAATCAAGCATGTTCTCTGAAGAATGACACTTTTGCCATCAGCAGTAGGAAGCCACACTCTGTGATCTATTCCCTCAGCCAAACATAAATACTCAGGTGTTCAACCAAGAGCACCACCACCTTCCTCTCTGTTCTCTCTCGCACATACTGTCTGATGCCAATACCCATGATCTGACAGTATGTGATTAAATATATCAATTTGTGCCTCTCTGTGTAGCCGATGCCCCGCAACTCCTGATGTGCCTGAGACTAAACAGGGAATAAGAAAAAGCTGATGGCAAAAGCCTCATTCTGTGTGAAACCTTACTCACTTTAAGCAGCACGAGTGCATGGCTTCTAGATAGCTCTCTTCTTGCCAGCACCCTGTATATTTGACAGGACTGATTTATGTTTTTCTCCTGTTATTCATCTCCTTTTCAAAGGAACAGTGGGCTATCAAACTGATTCCAATCAGTTGCGGGTTGGTGAACTGAGCTAAATGCCAACAGCAAGCACAGCTTGTTAAATCCTAATACTACTGGAAACTAAGAAGTGAGAGAAAAGCAAGCAACTCAGAGATAAGACTTAAAGATTGGCATCTGACATTCTGGGGTACTATCAGTTTAAACCGATAGCCTAACACCACCACTTCCCTACCTTTTGGGAAATTTGGAGAAAGTAGAAACACTTCTTTTATTTCTAACATAAATTGCAGAGCAATAGCAGGTTGTTTTCAGTAATCATGTCCACAGGAAGGACAGCCAGTGAGCTACGGTCTTCTTCCACACTTCATCCTTTTGAGGTGCCAGAATGGGATGTTTCTTCAGATATGATTATTATGAACATTCTGTTTTTTTCTGTGCTTCAATTCGCAACAAAATGGTTAACGCTGGTGCCTAAAGGCATTTCCCAGGCTGCTGGAAGTCTCAGAAAGCACTGTTTGCAAGACAGGTTCACAAGCAGTCCACATTCAGAAAACGGATTCATTTGGATTCTTTTTAGAATTCTGGTGCATGAGATTTCAGTTATCCATGGAAAGTTCCTCAGCTACCATTAGACAATTTATTTTAACAGTCGACAAATCTGCCTTCAATGTGTGTTAGATCCAGATTTAAATGTCCACTGGTCTCTTGCAGGAAAAGAAACAGAGTCAATGAAATTGACCCATTTTGGATAGTTGTCACAGTAGGAGACATCAGAAAAAAAAGCGTTTGCATCTGGAGACGAATAGGGAGGCCTGAGAAGGTAAGATATCGAGCCAAGAACAGCTACCAGCTTCAGAAGCCCTTCCTTTTTCCCGAGCAGGAAGCTGTACCCATGGAGCTAACTCTTGCAAGGAACAGGGGATAAAGAGGGCTCTGCACAGTTTTCTGGCTTGTCTCCTGAGATGCCTGCATAGCCAAGCCAATGCACTCCAGTCAAAAACCAAAAGTTGTGCAGAGCATGGACAGTGTCAGGATGCAGATAAGGCACAGAGGTGTTCAAAGAAGAATGTTGTGATTCATCAAAAAGAAACATCAATATTGTCACATTTCTAGAAACCTTCACATTTTGTTTTCATTTGTTTTATAGCTTCGCATATTATCTAAAGTTAAAGAAATCACTTGTTATTAAAGCATAATTGAGACTTTTTGAAAAACTGGAACAATATTCAAGTCTTCAGTTTCTTATTTATTAGCTAATTGTAAGGTAGCTGATTTTCCACAGTTTATTTTCATTATTTATAAAACAGGTTACAATAAAAGCCACTGTATTTCAAAAGGCAAAACATCTGAGCTATTAGGATCAAAAAGACAACTACTTAAGGAAGCCACAAAGTGAAAAAGAAACAAGAGATGTGTCCCTGAACTCACAGGCTCAGAAGGCTACAGTCAATATGTTATTTGATTAGTCTTGGGATACTGGAAATCCGAGCGCCTTGGCTCCGTTTGTACAATGCCAGCAGAATTGGTGAGACCAGGGAGCAATGCCCGAGAGCAGAGGCACTGCTACCTCCCACCCTCTGCCTTCTGCCTAATCCTGAAGGTCTGCAGGAATACAGACTTTACTACTCAGTTCAAAACTGTATTTGATTTGTGGTTTTCATTCCTTAAATACTGGCTTTTTAAGGAGGGGGGAAAAAAAAAAAGTCAGTCAGGAAACAGCAGGCTTGGTCTGCTATGTTGTCCCAAAGAACCTATGCAATTTTTGACAGCGAAATTCATGGTTCCGATAAAAGCATCACATGAGGAACCAGAATTATGCATGGAGAGGGAGATCATGACACAGAGTGGAGCCAACATTACCAATAAAAAGACGGGTCAAGTAGAAACTGAGAAGCAAAATCGGGCAGAAGCTGTCTTTGAACAAGACTTCTTGTGAAACAAGAAAAATGCCTCCCCTCCCTGCTTTACAATTAATGAGGATTTAAACCTTCCATTTGCTGGGAAGCAATGAAGAAAGAATGATGATAACTAGACCTATTTGTTATTCCTCCTACTGAGTTTTGGAAAGGCTTTTTCCCTTCTTATGAGTTTTCTTGCTTTTGCTGATAGGTACTTCTTGTTATTTAGGCAAAGGACAACACTGTTGACCATGAGAGAACCCAGGGACCCTGATGTGCAAGAATTTAAGCACCATTTAGAAGTGGCTATATGAACTAAGAAGAAAATCAAGTATTCAAAAAGCTAAATGGATATCAATTACAGACTAAATAAACCAGATCGTATTTTCATAAACATTATGATTTGCTTTCTAATTACTTTCTATACCTTTTCAAGAATTTCTAAGAATTTCTAGTAGTTATATCTATTTCCTGAGTGGCCTAGCCCGTAAGGTCTTACTGATCTTTCATCATTTGGATCATCCCTTGGTCGTGCAGCATTGTGAGACACATCGTATCTCTGCAAAGAGATAGAATTAAATCGTTAGCATTTGACACACACTTGTTCATATGCTCGCTATTAAAACTATCTAATTACACTATCTTATGTAATTCTTTTGCGTATTATTTTCTGAATTTATGTGCTAATGAATGGGTACTCCACAATATCTTTGGGAGATTATTTTCACAGAAATAACCGAAAATATTAGGCTTTGCAAGCAAAACATGAAACTGGCCTAAACAATTTCCATTTTTTTTTCAGTCTTTTAGAAAATACCTGCAGCTTCAGAACATTTTTGTTGTTTTCAAAGTAATGCCTTTAAGAACTGAAGAGGCTTCTGCGGCCTTTCAGCAGAGCCAAAGGAATCACTGGACTTATGTGAAGGACAAACCCATGGCCAGACACGGCTACTTTCATTTCTTCTGACTTCATTCCAATCCTTTTTAAATGATCCACTAACCACAAGTCTCATGATTCCACATGCAAAACCACTACTCTAGGAGGAAAATCTTGTATTTTTTTCATCATTTTCCACTGGGTTCATAGCAAGTAGTTAGAATACATGATTCTGAAAGACACACACACTTACAATTTTGAACACATGCACAATTTTTGTGCTAATGAACTTATTTTTAGCTATTAAAACACATTTATAGAAAAACAGGAAAGGGAAAAAATAGAAAAAGGAATACTACAGACATCCATGATGGATAAATTAGGTTACTGGCTCTGATATAATGTATGCCTGGCAATAAATGTACTTGTACAGATAGTATTTTCAGTTTAAGGTCAGTCAAAAGATCTCAGCTTGATTTAAAAAAATATATTTTTCACCTAAAGTCTTTTTTTTTTAAAAAACATTCTTCTTCAAATTCAAATACGAGCCCTTCTGAACTGTTCTTTTTGTAAAATTAAAAAAAAAAAAATCTTTTGCAGTTAACTTTTCCTTCACAATCTTGTCTTTTTTAAAACTGAAGAGAAACTGCTGTTTTTTACTACTACCTTACACCCAGTAGCTTCCCTATAGACATAATCCAAAAGGCTCATTTACATAAGACAATCATAATCAGAAAGTAACAAAATATCATGCTTTTGATCCAGAAAGAGGTTGCTAATGCAATTTGCAATTTTGATAAGGCTAATTTTTAGGCACAGAGAGAAGAGTATATAAACGTATAGCAATCTTTCCATTATTGAAGGCAAGTCACACACAACACTTAGTTGTATAAATGATTTCATAAATTATGTATGGAATTAATAATTTATTCTATCCATACATCATGCTATTTACACATAAAACATATGACAGCAACTCTCCAAAAGGCTTTAATTACTGAATTACTGACTTTGGGAGAAAGAGGAATCCCAGAGCCCCAAAGCAAAAGTGCAAAGTACTATCAACTGTCATGTTTTTGACATGTGCACGTTTAGTCATATCATTAGTGCACGTTTAGTCATATCATTAATCAGTACAGAATCTGGAAAACTACAAGCTTACGTTGTCAGTAAATGTAACAACACCATTGTTGCAAAAGAGTTTTACTACAGAAGTTTCCAATAGGCTTGAAACTAATGGCTTTATTTATTGCATTATTCCAATGAATTCATAAAAATTATGCTGCCATGAAAATGGTGTAGCATTGAAGAAATTGGCACAGAGGTTTTAAATATGTTGTTTTCATGTCAACCAAATTCCCTTCACTGTGCAGTGCCTCAGAACAAGAAGGCCTGTAATTCCCCTGCTGCAGGAACATTTCTATATTGGTTCCAGTGTCAATTCTCCCCGAAAGGGCTGTCTTGGGCAACCGTCCCTCAATTAAGTGAAAACACATTTTTACAATTAGTCACATCTAGGTGTAAATGATTCAAAAAATGATTAAGTCATTGCAAAAATTATCCAATTTAGCACAGAACTGGTAAATATAAAATATCCTTGAAAAAAAAATCTGTATAGTAGAAGGTATTTGTAGCCCTTTCTATCAGGTCACATCTTTATTTAGTGACATAAATACTACCAGTTTGATTGACAAGACCTTGTTCTCACTATAAAGACACAAGATTATATAATGTATGCTCATGCATATATTATTTATACATACCGGATACCGTCTCTCCTCTGCATAATCTGGATACGGCAAATTATAGCTTGGATGGTCATATCTATCATATTGCTGAGGGTGGCGTGTGGGAGAGTAGTCTCTCAGAGGAAGTGGATCAGGTCTCCTCACTGGTGACATGGGACTATGAAAAAATAAACAAGTTAAAAAAAAAAGTATAAAAAGTTAAAAAAAAAGGTATATGTGTAATACCATGTTACAAATTAGATTCATTACTTGTTTAAAATAAAATATAAAAACAATAATGTTCATAGAGTTGCTGCATGCATGACAATCACATTAAGACATACGCTCTCAGACCTTCACCCTGCAAACAAGTGGATTCAGAGATGCAAGACGCTCTCTTTGAGCATATTTCTTTACAATATGGATTACATCTAGCTCCATGTTTTTACTGCGTCCTGTCATGACATTGTGCCCATCACAAATTGATTTTACGTCACCAAACTTTCCTTTTGGAAAGTTAAATCAGTACTAAATAGAATTCTACAAAGATATTATTAAAAATTTTTAACAAAATTCTAAGTAGAATATCCATTACAACAGATACAGGGATACTAGGAAAATACTAATAACTCTTCCTTGTTTTCTGCCCATTTGCATTGAATGCCTGCTAAAATTGCTAAACTGTATCTTACTTTGTAGTCTCTGCTATTGATTGGTGCTTTTCATGATAAAATCTTCACTAAAAAGGCATTCAACACCTTTGGGGATGAGTTGGGATTAAACTAGCAATAATATTTATATAAGATGTAGAGGATACCTTTTCCTAGAATATAAAAACTACACCTCATCTCTTCTACAAGGAAGCAGAAATAGAAAATTTCTGATATAAGCAGAAACTCTAGGGGCCTTGTAGTTACTCACATCAATAATCTTTGAATGGCTACCACTCTTTACATATGTAAAGCCAAAAAAAACCTACCAACCAATCAAAAAAAAAAACAAAAAAAACCAACACCCTGCATTGTACAGTTTTCTGTTACCATATTAAATTCCTGTTACAGCTTTAACATTTTCAATGTTTTTATATTAAAAAAAATAAAATCTTCTCAGTAGACCAAAGTTCTCAAAAGACCAGAAAGCTCTAGTCTTTCTCTGCGGAGGAATTTGGAAGCTTGCTGCACATGGGGAAAATGTTCTGCTATCGTTTAGCTCCTTCGTGTTAAACACATTCTGTGCAAAAGTTGCAGGTAGGGAGTGCAACAGCATGTAGGTGTTAGAGAGGAGGATTAAAATGAATAAGGGTAACTAATTGATTCCTCTTTTTTTCTCACCATTTCCTATAAAATGGCCAAAAGGAACACATTTTATTTTTTAGAGGAAAACTACACGTTTGTTTACTAGTCAATCAGTATAAACAGCATAAATCAATATTTAGGATTTAGCTTCAGAAACAAGAGAAATATACCCTTTCTATCTTTAGTGATATTTTGGGAAAACAGAATTGAAATCAGTATACTTCAGAAATACTACCTAAGCCCTAGATAGTGGAGTCTTATGGAACAAGCAGATAAATTTAGTTCTATTAGTTCATATTAGTACTGAGGCACAAAATAATCCTGGAATTCTTACAGTGACACTTTTTGAACTGAATTAAAAAAAAAAACAAAAAAAGAAAAACAATCTTGAGAACTCAAACTGTACAATAATCTATATGAAAAATATAGCCAAAATATAGTAAAATAAATAGAGTAAAACAAATGAAAGTAGTAAAATAAACGAATAAAAACAGAGTCAAAATAAAAAGGCAAATATAAGTCAAAAGCTTAGCCATTATTGTCACGACCCTGGCAGAAATACACAGTAGCTCCAGTCTCTAGATCAAAGACCAAGTATAAATGTAATGAGCAAACAAGGCAGAAGAGCAGCCTACCTGTTATGTTCTAACTGACTTGGCGTTGGGTACGGATTAAAATCTGGTTTCATCTGTTGAGCTTTTGGCAATCTCATATTTTGTCCAACCCAGCCATCCTGTATGAAAGGGATAAGAGTTAAAGAGTTAAAGAAGTAACAAGTACAGTAAGTTAGCAGCTGTCTTTGATAAACAAAATAAAATAAAATAATAAAACCCAGTTGTTTCCCAGTTACAAAATACTGTCTTGGTTTACTTGTTATTGCTGTGTTCTCTAGTAAATGCAATTTATCCAAAAGAGTCAAAGGAAGAAAGGCCTTTACATACTTGGGTAATGTGAAAAAGGAAAACACAATTAAGACAACAGGGAAACAAAAGTTAGTCTGCACATTTAAATAAACCAGGTATTAAGGGTCTTACCAAGGCTGGTAGGTTTTGTTCATTCTGCCAATTACGCATTTCAAAATGATGCTGCTTCACAGTGTGTTTACCCCTGATTTTTTCAAAACTGAGTCCAAAATTAAAGACAGTGATTGATAATTAAGATCAATTTAACCCTGCTACAGACTGGCTCCTGTCTTTCCAAATGTATTGTGAAGGGAAGAAGGAAAACATCACGAAGAACAAAAAGAAACATTCTGTATTGTTCATAAAGCTAATAAATGATGCTTGCTTTCTAAATATATCTTTGTAAGAATAGAATGCAAAAATATAATAACCTGAAGTAATTTGGAAAGCAAGATAACCTCAGGAGAGGAGCAAAACTGGGCACAGCTCACCTGCAGGAGGGGCTGCTGGCAAAAAGGTTTCAGCTTCATCCTTTGCCTCAGAGAGCGCTTCGGTGACACGCAGCAATGCAGACATTTGTCTGCCTTGTTATCATGAAAGCAAAAGCTTGATAACAAACAATCTAGTTTTTATAAGTTTGCCTTTCCTTGCCTGGCTTATCTACCAGAAATACTCCATGGACTGCCTTTGGGCTACGAGTTGCAATGTGAATCATGAGAAATGTAGGAAGTACTGCAGCCCGTACCTGAAGTCATTCTTTATACATTTTTCAGCATGAAAACAGCATACAGGATTATTTATATATTAAATTACACAGCACCATCTCCTGGTGAAAGTCAACTTTGTGCCTCATTTATTTCTCATCATGTTTCTCTCTATTTCCTATTCCCTGTCCTCTTTATCAAATGTACTTAGCCATTTTTAATCTGTTATACTAGTGGTGACTACACCGAACACCTCACTCTATATATGTAATCAGCAGATCATTAGTCAAAACAGCAGTGGTTTGCCACTGTTGGAATCAAAGTTCAAATCCCTGCTCTGTCAGATTACCTCTCTAATCTTGTAAATGACTCGATCTACTCTATCTTACAGGAATGCCGAAAAGTCCCAGTGAAACACTCTGTTACAAAGGTGAGGCAGCTAATTCCATTTCAGATTTGATTTAGGGCCCTTTCTCTTTGAAGAGAAAAATTAAAAAAAAACAAACAAACCAGGAGGTGGTTAAATATTCTTGCTTCAATACCTATTTCCCTTTGTAGGCAATGAATTTGTAGTATATACAGCCAGACCTGTGCCAAAATGTCTATATTTTAAGTAGTTATGCACTAGCACTTACAGAGAGTGCAGCTGGGAAAAGGCAAACATGACATTTGGTATTTGGCCACATCGTTCTGATTATCTGAGCTGATCCTCCAGTCTCCAAACATGTCACTGGAGGGCATCACTCAACATGAAAAGGAAAGGAGCTTTAACATCACTGCCATTTAAACCCTCCAGTGAATTTTTATTCAGTTGAAAGTGGACTGAAATAAACTTGAAACAAATATTTCTAATTCAAATGAAGTTTTACTCTTAGATTCTGGCCTCACGGAACTGGGTGGTGGAGAGTCAGATCCTCAGCTAGTAACAACCCCTTTGTCTTACTCAATTTGTGCAGTAATGCTGCTCTACACCAGCTGATCACTCCATACATCTTCATTACAAAAATAAGGTTGCTTTGTTGGCTCCCAAGTAAAATGGTCAATGTTTCTTCTGGTGGGGTATAATTAGTTAACAGTCAAACAAAACAGTGAGTGTGGTTCCTCAACAGCTTAGACTGGTCAAGTCTGGGGAGCTCCAATCTCTTCTCCTGTGACTATATTCCCTGCTTCTTTCCCTGTCCTGGCACTAGGACTGGTCTTCCCACAACATGGCCTAGTTCATGGAGCTGATCCAAGCAGTGCTAGTCAGCTAGCAGTACAAAATGAGATGAGTGAAGAGGATGGAACATGTGGCTTGATCTCACATACAAATAACCTTTTTTTTTTTTAATGCTTACCTTGTAACTGGTCTAGTAAATAATAATTATTAGGATAACCTTATTAAACCTTATTAATCCTTACCTTATTAACCACCTTATTAATCCTTAGTTCTTTGTTTTCCCCTATGCAAACTAGATTTCCTTGATCCTTGACAAAGAATTTCACCTTCTTACATATCTTGGAAACCACATACTCAGTAAATAAAGATTTTAAGCTCGGTTTATTTTTAGTTTACTTGCTGACAATTCTATCCTATTTCTATATCCCATTCTGTTGAGTTACAAAACCATGCCTGACTTCCACTGGAATTAGAAGCTTGCCTTGTGCTTCACTTAATGACACCTCTTACCCTTGGCTGGTGCTGAGAAACATATCCCAAGTTATCAGTCGGTTCGGCAGTAAATGCAGGATTATGCCGTGCGTTACGGTGTGGAGCATTTGCCTGTTTCCTGGTGGAGGGAAAAAACCTCAGCGTGAATTTGCAGCTTTAGCAAGAGCTTTGAGAGTCTTCATGAATCTTTTTTTTTTTTGTGCTGCAGATTTGAGAGGAACAGAACACACTAGCAGGGCTCAAGGAGAGAAGGCCCCTCCTACATATTCTCTACCTACTCGAGACAGGTCAGAGTGAAAAATGAAACACAAATCATTGAAAGTGAACAGCAGCTCAACTGCCAGTGCCTATGATGACAGAATGGGAGAAATAACGTTTAATACGCAGGACTCTTGGCTAGTGTTTATTAGTTTTAAGTTTTTGTAACTTGTCCAAAGACAAGCAATGCTTAATAGCAAATAAATCAGCAAAGCAGATGCGGCAGCCTTCAAGTTATAGCAGTAAGCAAATAAAAGGACATACTGATATATAAAGCTTGCTTTGTTAGTCCCAAAGAAGAGAAGCCATGACCTATTCTGTGTGATGTTCTGTATGCAATGCTAAATAACTGTAAAATGCTTTGATAAGAGGCCCTGATTTACTCCTAAGCTGTGTAAATAACACTTTGGCAGAACATGCTATATGGGAAGCTTGTTGATTTAAATGTCCTGACATTAAAAATTAAACAGAGTAAAAAACTTCTTTTTTTTTTTTTTATTTCAATTTTGGTTTAATAATCAAATCAAAGAATAATCATTTTAAATGTATCCAGAATTACTTACGTGTTTTTTCTACCTTTGCAGTAGTATATACACTGGCATATTACACCAACTACAAAAGACAGTGCGACTGCAGGAAGAACAGTCACTAAAATCAAATCCAATGTGTTCCACAGTTGATTGCATTTGGGACCCATGTACCAATAGTCCCTCCAGCCCACTCGGTAGTAATGACATCTGTGAATAAAAACATTATTTAACAAAAATAAGTAATACAAAAATATACAAAATACATATTTTTGAAAATATTTTGCTCTATAATTATTTTTTGAACACCAGAGATGTAGAGATTGAATATTTTTTACCATCTACCTGAAAATATCATTTATCTGAGATAATATCCAGGCATCTTGTTCCAGATTTGGTGCACATGCGCTCTGCCATGCCACTTCCTGAGAACAAAGAACTATGTGTTCAAGCTGGCATGGCACTGGGTTCAAGATAATAAACGTTACTGAAAACAGGGTATATTATGCTAGTTACTGCATAATTCAGGTCAAAGTTTTTTTTTTTTTTTGGCCAGCTCTAAGGATGACAAAGCTTGCATAATTTCAGAATATCCTATGTAGATTTCATTGAAATATCAGTTATCACTATGATATTGATGCACTTCCAGTGCAAAAGCACTAACAGAACTTATCCTGGATGGCATCAGGTGACGCAAACACTTTGGATATGGGTAACCTTTTCTGAACCTGGAATTGTATCCCCAGCAGTCTTGTCTCTCCTTAGCAGTACTTGTCTTTACATGCAGTACTTCTATTGAGAGGGACATCTATTTTCCATCATATTTTCCATCAGTTTCTATCACTTCAGGAATCTAGCATTCTGCACAGAGTAACCTATGGACAGCAGGATACTGGCACACTCCTGGCCTCATCTGGGAAGGCTCACCTGGAATTGCGTACGCAACAGAACTGAGAAATTCTCATAGAGAAATTATTTCCTTGAACCATTCCGGTAATCAGATCAGCTTCTGCGCTGGTATTTTCTTGTTGACTTCCTGCTACAAGAAGTCTAAGGGTCTAAGTCTACATAAAATATACATATACAGACTAGATAAGGGAATGATACTTCCACTTAAATGACCAGAAATCATTAAAAGAAAATAAGCAAATAAATAATGAATAACAGGGAGGTTATGCATGTGCATCATTTTTAAATATTAAAGAAATTTTGGTCAAGCTGGAAAAAAGTGACTTGAAATTATGAAGCTTATTTCAGTTTTTAAGTAAAAGACCCAAAACAATACCAAGCATGTGAAAACACTCATATCCTTAATCTAGTGTTTGGTACCAGATTTAGATCCTTATACAGATTGTGAATAAAGATGCCCATCCACTTCCATGCATCACACTGCAGGGCCTAATTTTAGGGCATCATTAATAACATACGTCATGAATTGCACTTACACAGCATATATGTAAAACAATCCTTACCTGCAAAAAGGCTCTTCATTTTTACATTGACAAGAAATACCAGTTGGGCAAAAGTTATCCGTATTACCCTGACAGTCCTGAAAGTCAGCAATTCCTGTGCAGTTGGCTATAAATTAAAATAAAACAAACATGTATTAAACACAATGGAATATTTGTAATATATTGTTAGTGGGCTGCATTTCTAATTACATGAGAAATTTAGGCTTCATATGAAGTACTTTATAAAAGATACTGCATCTTCATTTCCAACGACTTGTGTCTTCTTGAAACTTTGAAATGATTTGAAGAATGAAGATTTACCCACTAAAATTACCTTACTCGAAACTTGCACTCATCTTGCAGTTTGTCTTTTATTAGCCAGTAAATTGCACAGCTCATATTATTACGATTTCTATAATGTATCAATTATCTATTGTATCTATAGATCTACTTCTTATAGGTACACATAATTCTTACAGAGTTGTATATAATCCTATATTCAAGTGGGGCTGTATCTAAATCATCGTATAAATAATCTCTGGATTCTGGGCAAAATGTAGAAATCATGAAACCTCACAACCCCTTGAGAGTCGTTTCCTCAATACATAATCCTCACAGAAATACTTTTTGTGTGTTTGGTACTGAGATTCTTCCTTAGTGAGTGTACAAAAGGATCTGTTTTGCATTAACAGGAGTTCTGCCTATCTTTTACTGTACAAGATTATATGCTATAAATTGTTCTAGCAGGCGAGTGCTTACAGTACTTTGGAGTTTAAAAGTAACTCCCTCATCAGCAATCCTCACCAGACATCAGAATTCACCACGTCTGACACTCCAACCCTGTATTCTGTGCTGCACATTTCTGTGTGCAACTCTGAACGCTGCAGTCCTCATTCCTATCAGGAGGCTACAAAAGTTCACTCAATGATCTCACATAAAACCAGAAAAGGCCAAGATTTAGGCAGATTTACCTAAAATCCTGACACAGAATGTGAGCAGCTGCAATACACTAACAGATAAGTTCAGGAAGAGAATAGAAACTACTACGGTACTCAAACAACAACAAAAAATAGTAATATTTAGCATTATATTAGGAAGGAAACAAAAAACAATAGTGTTTTCTGGTTAACTATGACCAGTGGTGGAACTACAATTCTTTTAGTACTGTTACAAAAAATGCAGATAACCTGATCATCAGAAGCTGGTAGCAACAGTTAAATAGTGGTGATTTAAAATAAAAATAATTAAAAAAAAAAAATCAAGCTGCTATAAAATCTTCCCATTTTACAAAAAAAAAAATCTGATTAATACTATATATACTGTCAGAGAGATTTCTGTGCAACTTTACTCCTTTTAAATAACCTTTTCTGCACATTCTGTCATATTCTTAACTATTGATAGCTTTCTCCCTGTTAACCTCCAAAAGCATTTCTAAAATAAATTCTACAATAAGCATGTGCATTTTTTCCATATACTGCATATTTCTTCCTACTGAAGAAATGAGTCTAAACATTTTATTTTAAATATATTCTATTTGACACTGACAAGTTGGAAATGGTCTGAAAACACCAGAAAATCAATATTTGTTGTAATTCATATTGCTGTAGCCTCATTACATAGAAGTACAGAAAAACAGAGGAAAGTAGAAGCATTTTTGCCTTGTATATCTATTTCTCTTCAAGGTATCACCATAACCTTGGCAGTAAAGAACTCAAGAACTATGAAACACATAAAAGCAAACATATAAATCAGCACACAAAGATCTTAACATCTTTGTTGGTCTTCCGCATTTAAGAACAAGCTTTACCTAAAGCATAAAGAGAATTTAATTAGGAGCAATACCATTAATATTGCAATACCACGATACCATAGGTGAGCCAGACACTTGAAACACCCCTTTTTGACAATCTGTAAAGCAAAAATGCACCACTGCTTACGTTCTGAAGCTTGTTGACACAGAGAATCAGTGGCCAGCAAGAGCACGAGAAGCAAGACCTGAACGCTCGGCATCCTGCGCCGGCCACGGTCCCGGCGCCCGTCTGCTGGGCTCGGTCAGGAGCAGGACACGCTCTTCTCTCTGACACTTCTTCATGCAGCGAGTCAAGGATCGTGGATTTTGAGCCTGTTTTACAGCATCCTTCTCTATAAAGAATTACTAATTAACTATATCAGATATAACTTCCTGGTAACTTCTTCAGCATATTCGTTTATACAGCAGCGGAGTGGTTCCATAAAAAATGTGTTTCATTAACCTCAGGAACGTCTCAATATCTGCAAATACATGCAAAGCATCCTTTCAACAACATGATTTGCAAAACGTATTAGATATCTATTACAAAAAAAAATTTGTCCATATTTTAGAGTTCTGTTACCTTTCAAAGATGACAAACCATGCCTGTATTTGACTAAAAAGTTTCTAGAATATATTCTGTTTTTGAAAAACATCAAGCGCCCTAAGTTAAGGGCCCTAAAACAGTTAAGCGCCCTAAGTAGCATGCTCTTAAGACGTTTTTGTTCCTCCAAACTTTATTTTTGCTGCAATAAATATTGCAGCTCTGGCTGTAAGGCATGGATAGAGCCCCACAGTTTGTTACTGACACCTCTTTCTTTAGCCCACATCCAGTTTGACGGAAAACTTGTTTCCTTTCTTTTTCAATTCTGCATGATTTTACATTTTCCAGTTCCATGACTGTTTTTCTGCCACTGCTGGAGAAAATAGGCACTTTAATGAAGATACTTCCAGGTATACGGCTAAACACACGAAAAAAAATATATTGACTTTTCCAAGTATTTTTAGCACTATTCTTTTGGAAATGTTAATGCACGAGTTAGTTTAAATAGAGGCTTATATGGACATGGACATCTACTGTATGCCAGCACCAGCCAGATAATTAGTTCACAAACAAGTGATATAAGTACATTTAAATTACACTACTGACCTAGCAACACTCAATTACACTGCTGCCTGTAGCAACACTGTTACTCACAACTTTATGGTAACTCATATAAGGTTTTATTCGTGACCCAACACAGCCCTGTTTCATATATAATATGGAAAGAAGGCATATCTGAAACTTTTAGCTCTCTTTTCAGATAATGTAGTTTCTTAAAAAAAAATCCCAAGATGGAAATTTGAACCAGAATAGACATTTCTCCTAATGAAAAAATTATGAAAAAATTTCTCCCAAGTTTAATTTTAAGAGTTTGGTATTTGCATCCATCCTTGGGTAGAAAGAAGAGAAAAAAAAAAAAGAAAAAAAAAAACTAGTGATTGCATAAAATGGAGAGAGGTATTCTTGGTAAAAAAAGAGCCAAACAGGAAAACAAGTAGAAATGTATTTGAAAACAAAGATGGAAAAACTGCCATATTAGGCAGCTCAGAAGGTAGTTCAGAAGAGAGACTGATTTGTCCCTTCTGCTCCTTGAATTCCCTGCATCGCCGCCAGCAGTGCTTCCATGCAGGCCTTCCTCTCCGGTCCCTGAGCCTTCCCCACGCATTCAGGATTCCTGCACAACTCACTGCCCCGATACTCCTTATTCTCCTTGTTTCTTCTTTTCCAAAGAATCCAAGTGCTCTCCAAGGACATGGTGGAAGGGTCCCTGCCAGGGCACAGGGCCCACGGGGCTCTCAGAGCAGCAAACATCCAGCAGCCACATTGGCAAGCAGCTCTGCTCGACACTTTTGTCTAGCATTTTACAGGTCTTCTGCTTTATCAGTTTTAAGGACTGTAGCATTGCCAGCAGCCTGACAATTCACGAGCCTTAGGCCAGGGAATGGTAAGGATTGTGATGCTCGTCTGCATTGTGACTTCCCAGCTCCTTACGTGTTGCCAGCTTCAAAGGAAATAGAAGATCTCGGGGAGATGCAGAAATAAGATGGAATCAAACCAGAGGCAAAGAGCGAGACCAAATTAATACCTGGGTGAGGCAAAAAAGAGAGGAGGAGGAAGAAAAGTTTCCCCTCTGACATGGTCAATGAGAAAGACCACATCCCACGTGAGGTGCCAGAGGTTCAAGCTCTCTGTCTCCGTCTCTGCTGCTGCTGCAGGTTTCTCCCCTCCCAGCACCATGAGCAGCTTCCGAGTTCGCCCAGCAGAGCCCCAGGACTGCCCCACCATCCTGCGCCTCATCAAAGTAAGGCAGGGGGAAGGAACTGTGGGCAGGGATGTGGCATCTTTTCCTAGTTTTCTTTTTTTCTTTTTTTTTTTTCCTGTATCACCATTTCCAACGTGTGCACTTTTTCCAGCTCCTGTTAACATTTGTTGTTATTTACACTGTTCTGATGAACCACAATGTTCTAGGTAGGACTGCAAAATGTGCTCACAACTCCCACATAGCAATCTCAAGGGCTTTTTGTATTCCAATTTATTTCCCCTTTTCACTTACACCAGTAACAGTTGTTACCAGTTCCTCATGTTCACATGTCCCTCATACTTGTTTCCCACCTTCCCGTCTTCTCCCATGATCTCTCTTTCAAATATATCTTTTTTTAAATCTTTTTCTTTCTTTCTCTTATGTAAACATAAATCCAAGTGCAAGTAACTCTATCAGGCAAAAATAAGCAAAGAAATTGTAAAGAGCTACCAAGATATAAAGATATGATTTACACGTCACTATAAGCTCACAGACTGGTCCCCAATGTCACCTTCCCCCATCAGCAACAGAATATTGCACCTTTGTAAACTCTTCAGCATAAAATCTCAAGCCATAAATTCCTGTCCATGGGGTATAAATGCTGGAATGAAATCAGATGATTAACTTGTCTCCTGATGTTCACTGGCATTAACCTTTCTTACAAAAAAAGCCTGTATGTTACTGATGGGTGCAAAATAACCAACAGTGAAAGAATACAGCTAATTACACATGATACAAAGGAAATATATCTTCCTAAAGGGCAAAACTCAGCTCCCTCAGAAAAGAAGTTACTTGGCTTCAGGAAAGCCTACCAGAGTGAATTTTATTTTCCAACTTCTCTGTATCCTATATTTATTTATCATAGCCCTAAAGTAGCACGGATTTCTTTACATTAACTCTTATACAAATGCCATAGCTTAGAAACAAAAAAACAGCAAGGACCATGAGAACAGCTTTTCATTGGTGGCATTGATCTCTTCTGGGCTGGAAGCAGCAAATCTCCTTAATTTCCTAAACTTAATTTCCCCTAATTTTTTTTTTTTTAAATTCAATTCAAGGCTAGCTTTCCCTCAAGACCTCATCGAACTTAATTTTACAGACTCTCATCTCCTAATTGTTTTTCCAATATCAAAGCATCTAGACAACTTTGTCTGTACATCACTGACCGAACAGTATTTCTCCAAACATTAACCTAACTCCCATAAAAAGCAAACTCCTGTTCCTACACAATCTTTATGTCTGTAACCTATTCCTCCCTGCCAATGAATGCAGAAGCAAAGGGAGAAGGGGAGGGGGAAACACAGACTGGCAAAAGGTGCTCCAGCACCAAGCTGCTGTTATTTATGCCTCTTATTATTAAAATCATTTTTATTAAAATTCTATTATTTGGTTAATGGGTGATTTCTAGGAAGCAATGAGTAAGCCACAGACCAAGAGTTTGATAAGATAAATGAACACTTTGTTTCTTAACAGTCTTTGTATGAGGGTGAGCGGGAAGCCATTACACCAAGGAGGAATGTGGAAAGGGACAGAGTAGCACCAAGAATCCAGCGGGATCCCTGCGGAGCAGGCGGCGGCCTCGGCTGCCATGTGCACCTCTTTCCTAAATAAATTATTAAAGATCAAAATGCAAAACGAGATCCTGAACCGGCGGCCTTGGTGTGAACGTCTCCTGTCATGCCAGGCATCTATAGAGTCTGGATACACCAGGGATTGGTATAACCAGGGATAATTCTGCCCAAGCCTTTGGTGTAACTGCACTGAGAATAAGTTTTTGGGATGGTGCTCTGGAAATCTCTCTGAAACTGCATGAAGATCTCAACACAGATTTCTTTATTTGACAGGAACAAGCCACTTACGAACACACGCCAAATGCAGTTACATTAACAGAGGAAGGTAAACTTTAACCTTTACTTTCCAACAAATAATTATCCATAAAAATCAATGTCTGGCATAGCATAGATTTTAACAATCACTTCCTTGCTTGGAAGCCCGAACTCTCGGCAGTTCTATGGGCTTGTTTAGAGTTAAGACTGCTTCCTGGCCCTGCCTTTATGTTCCTGCACAGCAGATCTCAATCACACCCAGTTAAGAGCAGAGAATATCACATGCACCTAACTAAAAAAGAACACAAAGTGGTACAAACCCCCCAGGGAAGTGCTGCTGCAGAGCGATGCACCAGCCTGTAACACAGGCTCCCTTCTCCCAGCTGACACCAATTGCCTCTCCAGTTCAAGCTCACAGCTGCTGAACGCAAATTTAACATACACATACCTCATACTTCGTGCTACACACTGCTTTTACATTCCATTAAAAGAAAGATTCATAAACATAAATTTACATTTTTGCCCCAATCAAATAGATCGTGGAATCCCTTTAATAATGTGCATACTACTGACTTTTTATTTCATGCTGATATTTTATTGACAGTTTGGGCTAGGCCTCACAGAAAGGCTGTGGGGGTCATCAGCAGGATTCTCTTTTCAGTGCCTGGCAAATACAATATAGGATTGAGATTATCCCTCATAAAACTAAATAGTTGGGGTTTTTTTTGGTACTAAATTCCATACCTCAATTTCTTATTATTTTAGCTACAGAACATTCAATATATCAAAGAGTTAGGCATCTTGCAATTATAATCTAAGTATAGATGATGCCTAGATTAATTTTATTAATCTGCCTAGATGATGCCTAGACTAATTTTATTACCTTAAATGTTTAGCTAAAATGAAGTTACAAAACAAAGTAAATGCTTGTAGCTGTTCAGTTGCTTATGAGCGTTACTCTTAATTTCAGATTTCCTTCAAGATGGCTTCGGAAAACATCCTTTCTACTACTGTTTAGTTGCAGAGGTTGAAAAAAAGAAGCAGTCAGAAAGTAAGCTACAAACATCTCAAGACTTTAAAACACACAAAGATTATCAGCACACGCACAAAAAAATTCAGCTTCAGTTGACTATTAGCTGACCACAGCATTGGAAATCACACGGAATTTATTGCAATTGTTTCAGTAAACAAATTTTGATCAAACCGTAAATGAATGGCCAGGGAATGAACTACAGCCTAGAAAAACGGTGACTGAGAACACTGCCCTGGGGCAACTATGAACTCACACACCCCTCGGCCCGAGTCAGTAACGAAACTTTTATTCCCCCCTTTCTTTTGTCCTTCTACAACCTTTAATAATGTGCTGACAAACTCATTTCTGCAACACAGTATAGGTCTGCCCCTAAGACTTGAAAAGCTAAAGTTTCTTCAAATAAAAGAGCTGAGTCAATCAACAGGATTTTTTTCCAACTTGGAGATTTCCTTCTCCTTACCATTCTGTTTGGGCTGAACACTTGCTCCTCAGTGCTGGGGTAACAAACAGTAAAGGCACTTGCAGAACACTTCTGCACACAGCCTGTCTTCTGGACCACAGCTCAGCACTGGCACACACGTGAGCTCTGCTTCTTCGAATCTCCAGATATGAGAAAGATGTCCCCTGAAATAAAAATAAGCATTATTCATAATATATATATTAAAAATATATTTTAAATACATAATTTTAGATGTGATTATACTAAATTATTACATTTCATTGGATTATACACAATGAGTGATGTTACAACAAATAATTGTGAAGTATATCACAATACAAAATATGTTTATTGATAATATATTTACAAATTGAGCAACATAATTAACATTTTCCCGTGCATACTGATGTTTCCTCTTAAAAGAGGTACCAACTTTGTAGTATTCCACTTTAAATCCAATTTCTGCATTTTAATGTTATTCAGTTAAACACAAAAGCTTCACTACAAGAGAGCTGTTCTTGTGCAGGTATCTCGTAGTTATTTGGGAATCATAACGACAACATCTGCTCGCAGAACAGCCACATTACATCACACTATTTTTCTTCTTTCAGGGATTTGCACTGTAGGTTATGCCATGTACAACTTTAATTATGACCCTCGAGTTGGCAAATTACTGTACCTGAAAGACTTCTACATCACAGAACCGTATCGAGGTAAATGTATTTGCTATCAGTCTCATTGTTTTAACATTACACACGTAATGTTAAAAGCACATTTCATTCACAAAAGGCATAAAACTTTTTTCCTCACTTCCGAGCCATACCATCTTTAGAAGAAATTATCAAAAGAAGCAAATAAAAGAAACTGAAAAATCCAGATGAACATACAATTGAATATAAATTACTAATATCATCTGCATCTAATTTTGATAATTTCTTTGAGGAATGTATGTCACAGAAACTCGAAAGTTTAATAGATATTTTTTTTTCCCTCCCAGCAGCAGCAAAATTGTGACTCAATCCCATTTATCAATTAACTTTTAAAATATACTTCAAAGAAAAAGAATTGACAAGCTGCCCTACCGCTGAGACAACATGCAAAGTAAAAATTTTCAAAATTAAGTAACGCATCATCTTTTATTTTCAGGTGCTTCACAATGATATGGCAAAATAATGTATCACAATCAATTTTATATAAATAAAATATAAGCAATTTATATCTCCAGATAATTTAAAAAATGCAGCGTATTACAAAAATATTTTTGTATAATAGTCATGCAATCCAGTTCTTTAAAAAGAGAGAGGATTCTTCAAAAAATAATGCCTATACTCTCATTACTTTAGTTCTACTGTGTTATGTATGGTATTATAGTAATATGCGTATTACTATTATAAAATTAACAAACTTTCATGCCAGTTAAATCACTTTAAAATGCCTCTTAAATACACTGTTAGAAGTGATTCACAATATGTTAGTGAATCCATGTCTTGCAATGCCACTTTTCACATGTACTTATGTTCATCTTTCTGTTGTTTAACAGGTCTGGGCATCGGATCTGAAATTTTAAAGATATTAAGTCAGGCACGTATATTTAAAATGAGGATTCATGGGCATGACATAATGCACATTCAATTTTGCTTTTTAAAAGGTTAATCAAAAGAGAGGAAAAAACCCACGAGACTGTAATCAATACAGATGATACAGCTGTTTCGCAATACCGTTACTGCAAATTTATACTACAAATATCGTGGCAATTTCTGCCAGAACAAGATTGTTCACTGCAAGAGATTTAAAAACTGTTAATTCCAACACCAAATTAATTTCTAACCCCCTCCTCCTCCAACAGGCTTCTACCTTCTCCTTAGGAAGGTTTTATACAAGCCAATGAGCACCTCACACTCACTGAAGATTTTCTATCTGGAAATTCTACTTACTTTCCCCTTTTCTGTCATTAAACCCCTGCATAGTTATGTACCCTCATTAACTAAGTCCTCAAGCCGCTCGTGCCAGAGCTGCTCTCTGGGCACACAGAGCTAAACAGAAGCTGGGTTCCGAACACAGCAAGGCCTTATCAGCTATTTCCCCTCTGTTCCAAGAACTTGCAGTGGACATTGCCCCCTTGATAAGGGATAAAAGGAAACTGGAAGTGTACAGCACAAGAGCTAGGAAGGTGTTAAACAGAAGAACTGTAATCGTGGCACAATTGCCAGGAAGCACAAAAATTGCACCACTGTACAGTACTGTGGCCAGCAATTTATGCTATTATTAATTACGATCTTTGCAACTTTCTAATTACCAGTATTTGTGGAATAATCTATTTATGACGTTACTTTCCTACAGACAGCACTGGAGACCAACTGCAGCTGCATGCACTTCCTGGTGTTCATCCGTAACCAGCCATCTGTGGAGTATTATCTGAGACGTGGAGCTTCGAATCTCTCGACAGAAGAGGGCTGGCATCTCTTTAGGTTCAGCAAAGAAACACTCCTCAGGATAGCAGCTGAGTAACCAAGAGTCACGGTCACCATGCCACCACGTGTACAAAATCAGAATAGGAACCTCATTTAACCTGCTTTTGTTTTAGCAAATACAACCTAAATGCCTCTGAAATTACCTGCATCTTTTTTGGACGTACCTCTGAAATTTTATGTGTCTCTCATGATTGGATCTCATGTTGGTGGACATGAAAAAGGCTGACTGCAGGAAAAGTTCATGCTGCTAAGGTATTACTACACTCTATAGTATTCCAGGGTTTGCTAAAAAGTTCCTTACAGCTATTTATATGCACATTTTCTCAGACACAGAAATAACAATTTGGAGATTAGCTACAGCCTTCCTGAAAGGACAGAACGTACCCAACCAGGAGCCCTTTGGTAAAACACAGGAAAGCAGTCTCCTATATTTGTTTCAAAGTCAAAATTCAACTTATTAATTTTAGATTCAAGTTGTCAAAAATGGGGATTTTGAAAGAATTTTCAATTGTGCATTAATCTGCTGATAGAAAAAAGAAAAAAAAGGCTACACCACATGTAAAGAGCAGCAAGTACAGAGGAATCACAACCGGCTACAAGAGCCTGAACGCCACGAGTGACTGAAGGTAACCCCATTACTGGAAGAAATCTGTCATGTCCTCATGTCCTGCTTCCCTCCTCCTTTTCCCCAATAACACTGCACACAGTAATATTGTTTTATGAGCTCCATAACTGAATTCCTCACACTCAGCATATTTCTACGTGGGTATGAACAATAGTTTTAAGTAGTCTCCTAATAGTTTTAAGTTCTCCTAGAAACTCCTGAGCCTTCTCAGCAGGAAGCACACACAGTTCTACTGCAGTGTTCATGTGGGGAGTAACCCGAGATTGAGACACAGCTTTGGGGTGGCTTTGTGCACCGCGTGCACGCACAGCACGAGCTACCTGTGAAGTCAAACAGCAGCCAGTTCTGGCCAGTATAAACTTCAGGAGAGCAAGGAACCTTCTGTAGGCTACACACCTTTTTTTCCTCTACCGTTAAAGGATATATGAGCAAAAATGCCCTAAAAACATGGAAATGACCAGACAGTTTTTTTGCATTGCAGGCAGAGAGCAGCTTTCAGGGTCTGCTCTCAGCATGGAAAGGGTCCCCAGGCCTTCCCTATCCACAGTTCTTTTCCTGCTCGTAGAGGAGCGATTCCTCTGTGTTATTCAGGGCACAGTGCAGGACTAGGTCACCACAGGCAACTCCTACAAGTTACTTGCATTATCTTACCTTTTTCCGTAGCCTTGTGGTCGCACAGCATCAAAGGACCTCAGCGAGAACTTAAACAGAATCTAGGAGTAGAGCAGAAGTTTTTTTCCTGTATTTTTTTTATTTGGCCAAAGGGCAAGATATGGTAATGGATAATGTAATTTCTGCCATCCAGTCTTGCGTTTGAAAATGATGTTTTCTTCTCCATCTTCATCTCTGCACCCTTACGTCTTCCTGCGTCTCCCTGGATCTGGCATATGAAGCCCAGCCATCTATTTTCTCCTCTCCTCTTTCTGTGATGGCATACAAACTCTGGCTTGCCCAGGAATTCTGGCAATTTTCATTTAAAATCCTCTAATTGCTGCCTGAATCGAGACTGTTGCTAGGCCTTGAGAATTGATTAAAGAAACAAAACATATTCAGTTCTAGTTGAGCCACCCTTAGCAAGCTTAAGTCAACTCAAAGTACAGCTCTTCATTAAACTTCATTATTTACTTATTTCACCTTCCGTTGGACTCTGCATAGGTGCAGCACTTTGCCCAGTACGTGGCTTCCAGAATATTTACAGTCTGTTCCTGAACTATTCTGAGCCTCACTTGTGCTTTTCTCAGCCAGTCATCACTGATGCTTCGGGCACGTGCAACTGTGCCACACGTTCTAACAACTTCTGCCAGCCACACCACGAAAGCCATTGGCACGGTACATATATTCCATTAATTGAAAGATGAGACAATTCAACTGATTGAAGGAGAAATTATCACTGCACCGTCCTTCTGCAGTTTACGTATTAGGAAAATACTGCAGTTGATACAAATGTGACTACTCCTAGACGGCAGAGTGATTATTATTGTATAGCGATAATTAGCTGTGCTTCCTCAGACAAGATCATCAGATGTATCACGAACCCTTATAAGGCTGTGTTAAATAGAAACGAAGGATGAACATAATTAGATTGACATATGCAGTCAAAAAACAATGTTTGAAAATTTAATCATAGGAAACTGTGCCAATTTCTAGTGTTTTTCTTAGAAAGAAAGGCACAATTTCACAAAAAACCTACCAAGATCAACGGGTATTGCATACAAACTTCTGGGAACCAGGAAGTTTGCTGCCTATTGCTACTGCTGCACTTCTGTAATACTTGTCTGCACCTTTAACTTTTTAATAAGTTCCTATTTTTAACATCCAAACCACAGAAGGTTTCCAACTTTCTACATACGGCTAATGCACTCCATGTAAATTCAAACAGTATCAGTTTCATGGATTAGGTAATTTGCAAATACTTCTTCCAAGTACTAGAAGTAGTTGAGAAATAAACTTCTTTTATAGGCTATGCTTCAGTTGTGATACTTGGGCAGAGGACAAATACCACAACAGTGTTTATTCCAGAGCTGAAAGCAGACTGAAACCAGAAGCCTTCACCAGCCCCATCATTCAGATTGCTATTTTTTATCAGTGAACATCTGAGAAGTATAGAGATGTATTTAATTTTACTTCCTTTGTGAAGTGACATTTATTAATAATCTTGGCACAGACAAATGTCACTGTGAGGACACTGACAAATCTCCTTTTCTCAGTGTCTCACTAATGACACAGACAATAAGTGAATCCTCATTACCTCTCAGTAGGCAGTTACAGTTCATACACAACAGGTATGTCTGTTAAACGCTTCTAAGTAGTGAAAAGCACACTAAAGTCCCATAAATCAATAGTACAAATTGAGATAAGAAAATACCTGATTAAATCATATCTCACAGGGCATGTATCACAAGGACTACTCCTTCCCTTGCCCCTCCCCCTTATCTTTAATTCTTTGCAATGATTTGTAAGCAGATGTCTTAGCTCCTAGTACTGTACATATCCACGTCTTCAGGGTTGGATTGACCGTGGTCCATAAGTTCTGGGTCAGGTTTAAATTTTGTCGTCTTCACTGTCCCTGTTGGAGAAATTAAATATAATATTTATATACATACACATACATGGGATACAGGCTGATGAAGGCACATGATGATTCTTAAGAGTATAGATGTGGATGGAGTGTCAGCCTTCCCCAGGCTCTATCCCTTCCTGAACACTATCAGGTGAAGGAAGAAGTGCAATTCCTCTGCCCTGCACATGCAAAGTGTCATTATGAATGACAAATATTTTTTATTTTACCAGTGACCAAAGATATAGGGGAAGGAAGGGGACAAGCTGTTTTCATTGGTGGCCAGCGACAGGACGAGGGGTAATGGCCAGAAGCTGGAGCACAAGAAGTTCCGTCTCCAGGTGAGGAGGAACTTCTTCACTGCGAGGATGACAGAGCAGTGCAACAGGCTGCCCAGGGAGGCTGTGGAGTCTCCTTCTCTGGAGGTCTTCAAAACCCGCCTGGATGCCACCCTGTGCCACATGCTGTAGGTGTCCCTGCTGGAGCAGGAAGGTTGGACTAGATGATCTCTAGAGGCCCCTTCCAACCTTGGATATTCTGTGATTCTGTGTTATGATTCAATTTAAAGGCAGACGAATAAGCAGTGAGTCAAATGAGCCACTTCCACAAATAAAAAAAAATGGAACGAAATCCTTAAAACTATTCTTCGGGTTTTCTGACAAGGAAAAGATAATACAAGGTAGGTATTTAAAGAAGGCATTTGATATTAGCTGTTAGAAGTATCATGTAATTTCTACCAATATGGAAGACAGTCATACGGAATGAAAGACTATTTAGAACACCAAACATCATATAATAATCTTGGTCCTATGACATGGTTCACAGTAAGCAAATTATCACTTCCTTGAAGTCCTTATGTGGGTCTACATATAAGGGTTACATATAGTCTACAATATATTCTTAAGATTAATATGTTGAGACAATTTGTTCTATTTTGAAGATAAAGTAATTCCAGAATAAAGTCAAATAATTCAATTTGCCTTGGAGCTGAACATTGTACCTGAGATGAAATTGGGAACTTTGAATTCCCCTAAGGAAGACACTGCATCTTTAGCATGTGAAGAGTCTGCAGGAGAAGATTCTGGTCTGTTAAACGATCTTGACTTCACAGCAGATTCAGCTGATGCACTAGAAATTTCTTTCTTTTTCTCATCTTCTTGTTTAAGTGATTTTGACCCTTGCTGCAGCTGTGAATAAGACAAATCATATAAGCATGCACACGTGTATATGCTGAATATATTATTGCAAAGTTATTTAAAAGATTGTCTTTTACCAAATTATTTTCAAATATCACGAAGACATTCAACTAGTAACATTAAAGGCAGATGCATGCAATGGACACACACAGAGAAAAATAAAGAGAATTAAAAATCAGCTCAGATACAGTAACATCAAACTCACTTTAAAGGAAGTTTGTCATGAATGTATAGTTAAGCCTGATACTTTCCTTTTTTTTCCTTTGTTTTAAGCTGAGACAAGGAAGTCTCAGTCATTATTAACTTACAATTATACTTAGCAAAGTTAGCATGATTAACCTTCTCATCCTACATCAACACTCTAGCTAATTATTCTTGATTACTGAAAAACAATACGTTGTTTTGGGAACAGGCTTCATTCAGGAAAGAAAACAAGTTAGCAGAAACTGTCTTTACCACACCAATTCTTGTTTCCTTATCATTTTTTTTGGCCTTTCTCTGAATCGCATTTTCAAAACTCAATTACATTTGTGGTCCTCAATGGTAAGTGAGGACTGTATAAAGACAAACACTTTAAATCAAATGTTCTAATATCTTCTAAATGTCAAGATGACTGAGAAAAAATCATTTTCTTTAACAGCAACAGAAAATACACTCTAAATGAAGCTCTGGGCTTTATTTTACCGCATTTCTCTTTGTAAAGAGAAATGGACCTATTACAGGAGCTGAAGCCTTGCCCAGCACTAAGTAGACAATATTTACCTTATGTGAATTGCATACGGAACTGGAGTTAGTTCATCATTGATATAGACTGTTTCTTCTGCATCCCAAAAGACCTTTCCCCTGGCTGTCAATGGGAACTTTGCACTGCCCCCCTGCAATGGAAACTTAGGAAGCAGTGTTCCCTAAGGGAAATAAACAGCTTCATGTAAAGGGTATTTTCTCACTTCAGCGAGCCTACCTTCGTGGCATCTTCCTTCTTCACCCACAGCGATCGCACTGCTTCGTAGGTGTGCTGGCTTGCAGAGTACACCCTTTTCCCTGTTACCTGTATTTTAAAACATGTTATTTTAACAATGGTTTAACTTAACTGCTAAGTTTCATAGACCATTCAAAGGAAATACATTTTGTTTGGACTAGAATATGCTTGATGCTATGCTCATCTGCATCTCAAGATGTAGGGAAACTCATGTTTACTCCTACACCAAACAATCTTCAGTTATAATTAATATTTAAACTGTTATTAGAAAACTGGAGACAGTAATCACATGCTACACTCAGCCATTTTATTCATTGCTAGTACTTCCACAATTAACATCTGTGATGCACTGTATTAATAAAGGAAATCCTACTGGAATTCCAACTATCAGTCTCCAGGGAGTTAAGTCATGTGAAACTGGAATGCTGGGACTCAAATCAGTGGTAATTCAATATTAAAGTACAAACAAACTTACCTTAGCAATTACTATTGACTGAGCTGGGTAACAAACTGAAATTCCTAAAGCAGTAAGCCCAAATGGATAAGCAATCTTCTTAAACCTAGAATCTGCATAAAAGTAAACATTGTAAATGATTACATACTAATGATATATGAAACTACAGATTGTATACCTGTAATTTTTTATACTGAGTGTATACTTGCAACCTGATAATTGCTTACATTCAACACCCTCAGTTGTCTGGAGTAGAAAAAAAGAAAATACAACATAGTCTAGTAAATCGGAACAGTGATGTATACAGAAAAACCAACCCTGAAGGTTGGTTTCTTGATTCAGAAATTCCTCCATACGCACATTTTTTTGAAAACCAACAATGAACAAACTCAAATTAAACCTCCTATCTTCAATTCTGATGAATCCAGCTGTAACAACTCTGTAGCCCTGCTCTATTTGGCTCTAACTAAGCTTTAGCTAACAACAGTATCAGACCTCTAAGCTACAGTGACTTATGCTTCCTTACTTGCTGTTTAGGATCTTGGTTAGCATGGCACACTGATGTGTTTCAAGTTAATAGAGAAAATGGTTTAATGCATTGAGTTTGCTTTAACATATAAACAGTACTGTGTGTTTGATTCATTTTTACAGTTTATAGAGTTACAAAGGAAATAAAAGTCCCTTCAAATTTTATCATGAGGGATTTTTTAAAAAAAATACCAGTTACACAGGCTTTTCCCTACATTTCATAAAAATGCTACATCTTAGATATGATAATAATTGAAAACAAGTGGAAAATCCATACCTTTCCGTGACAGTGCTATGCCAGCTAGGCCTGATATTGTAATTACTCCGGCTTTGGGAAGAAATTCTGGTGGCGGATTCTTGAGGTAAACATAAGCATCTTAGAACAATAATAATAAGAAAGTATCATAACTACTCCGTATGAATCTTTTCTTCTCACTTACCACTTCAAAAACAAAAATTTAAGTAAAATGATATATATCCAAAGTTCACACAGTTCAGAATTAAAGATGCCTTATTTTCCAGTCCATTCTAAAGTGTTAGATGGAAACAGATTTCTAGTCAAAAATCCTCAAAATATAGCAGTAACGTTAAGAATTTTTCTCTTTAGACACTTCCTGTTTTGTAAAATGTTAGTATTAAGACTTTCATTTGACTCTAATTATAGACAGAGAATATATTTCAGAGTCTCTCAATTTACTATATCCAGGGAAAGTTACTCTTATCTATAACTGTGATGAGCTTGAATGCAAATACTATTAATCGTATGTATTAGAATTAAGAAGTTATTTTTATAATTAAGAGAGACTGTGAAGCTTCTAGCCTTGGAGATGTTTGAAACGTGACTGCACTCAGCAACCTTATCTAGCTGACCCTGCTTTGAGCAGTGGTCTTGGACTAGATGATCTCTAAAGGTCCTTTCCAACCTCAATGATTAGAAAACATTCTGCAGAATACAAGGCAACAGAAGCCTAAAAAACATTCTCCATGTCTTCTCTCATCAGCATCACAGTAAAATCTAACACTTCAGCTGTGCATACAATACTCAAATCCTTTTTTTTTTTTTTTTTGATTTAAAAACCTACGACTATAATCAAAGGAATGAGAAATGCTACCTAATTAGTTATTTCTCTCTTTTGAGAAAAGAGCTGAAATTCCACCAGAAATGAAGAGCAACACAATTTATCTATCCCCCTCCCACCGCACTCTTGAGGGAATTATTTGAGTCTAGACTCCCTCCTCGAGCACAATTTTGTTCTTTTCTGGTTTCAACCAGCCACGTTGTATAGAGAAAAACCAGAAAGCAGTCAGTTAAGAAATAGGTAACTTGCCTACCTTTTCCAAACTGAATTGAATCCATTATTCCGTTTTTAACAACGACGAAAGCATTCTATATAAAAAAGAAGACATTAAATGAATATAAATATTTTACAAAAGTAGATATTTTCAGTACAAAAACACTCTGTTCATATATGTGGTTTATCATGTGCTTTATCACAAACAATTATATAACTTCATGTTGCATTACTCCTTTCAAATTAAGTCAACACATTTAGATATTAACTTTTCTTAATCTAAAACAAATATCTAATAGCCAATTAAGAGCATCACTGTCCAGACATTATCTGGACATATCATTCTTCAGGAGATCAAACAATAACAGACAATTTCACCCACAGTTATTTCACTGAATTTGCTTCCAGCACCACTGAATTTGTACCACCAGGGGTCACTGCTCAGCAATCTCTAACAAAACCAATTCACTCCTTGAGGTTTATGGGCAGAGATGTGTCACATTTGTAACCTAATTATTTTAATTATGAAAAATGATAGCTGTCACTGATAAAGTTTTCACAGACTACTGGAATTTGCAGAAAATACAGCTACACATTTTTCTTCTTTGCTGTTCTCAAAATAATCAGGTTCATCTTTTTTTCTACAAAGAAAATACAAACGTATAACTTGACAGGCCTAACAGCAACCAAGCTAAAAAGCTGCCTGAGGTGATGTAAAAAACGGGAAGCAGATGTTCTTCCTGAAGCTTTAAGAGATGGCACTGAAGGTCCCATGGGAAGCTCTCACTTCTCCCACAAGTGCTACTAGAACAGGAGGAATTCTGTGAGCAAGAAGTTAGAGAGGTAGCAGGGAGGGATAGGAACTGCTCTGACCTTGTTGGACAAGCTAAAGGGGAGATGTTATCTTTGAGCAGTTGAGTCACATACTCTCCATGCCTAGAACATTTAATAGCAAAATTGTGGGGTATTTTTGGCAACTAATTACTAACAGGCTGCTTTATCAGTTACACTGGGGTGCTCTCAGCTTGTGTTTCCTAAAGCATCCAAACCAGGTACTCTAACCTGCCCTTTGGAGGCAGTTCTCTCTCTGTTAATTGTACCTGGAACTTCATCCTCCTAAGTAGAGGCAACCTTTGTTTCTAAAGATAATCCTAAAGTGTGTGTGTGTTCATATAGGATTCATATATGAATCCTAGCATTCACATAACTGTTAGGAAATAGCTCTATTATACCTGTCCCAGGTTAAACATACAAAGCAACACAAAGTTTCACAAAGACAAAAGACAAGTTACCTGATCAAAGACAGAAAAAACATGTTTCACTCAAAAGACTTTGCTTCTGCCAACTGTATCAGACAATCTGAAAACAAAATTGCTTCTCACGCAAATATGTCTAATAGGGAATTAAATGTATTTAACTGCAATGCATAGCACTACTTGCTGACTAGTTTTACTGCAGAAGATAGGGAAGAAGTGACCTAGCCAAGGTATATAAGAGCATTCATTCTGTCAACCATCCCTAGTCTCCATTAATTTTCTTCATAAAGGCCACACATAAGGGTGGCCAGGCTGAGAAGGTTGCATGCTGAGAGCAATAAATTGCCAAGGTAACTCTGGCTGTTAGAAGATAACCAACGTATTTCTGAAGCTGATACTGCCGGGGTAGCCTAGAGCCAGGATAAACCTGACCAAAAGGGACGTATGTTGTTTCTCTCTCTTAATTCGGAAAACAGAAAATACAGAAGTTTTGTGCTGACTGCAAGAAGAACAAGATGAGAGATGTTTTACTGTTTTTGTGCAATGCTGTCAGGAATAGCAGGAAACCCGAGGTAGGTTTTCCTTACCTTGCACCACCCGAGGTAGCGGCTGGTTGTCTTTCTTACTGAACAAAAACCCTTCTGCAAACGGCCAGGTTGTTCCTCAATGTATTTAGATTCCACAGGTGGTGAACAGTAAATTGGAAGCTGGAAAGTAAGGCCTGAGTTTACTGAAGGGAGACAGTTTTGGATACTGATTAAAAATTACATTGAACAGTGTTCTTCAAGACACTCAATTCTTATTCTTCCTGCAAGGATAAGTAAAACCTCCATATGCTGCTTTATATGAAGAAACTTTCTTGATGAAAGTATGACTGCACTTTAACTCTTAGGAAATGAACATAGGAAGCATTACACGGGTAAGGTCTGAGAAGCAGCACGGACAAATATGATAAAAGTGTATTTTGCACCAGAAAAAGAATGAGCAAGAACAATTAGAAGAGGCACATAATATATTACTAGAAATTATACAAGAGAAAGTATACTATTATCATAATAAGCATTACACTTTTTAAAAATCTTTTATCTAACGCTGTTTTATCTTTCACTTTTTATCTTTTAGCTACACTTTGTCTCTGGAATTATTTCATGAGACAAAATATTTCTACAGTAACTCTCTTCATGCTATCTATTATCTATTGCTATCTATCAATTATTTAGAAGGTAATTTGTATTATCACCTACTACTTACAGGGAATAATTTTTTTCTTTTCTGAGTAATATAATTCAATGGAAAGATATGCTGTTCTGGAGGTTTGCAATACCCTGGCAGTAAGAATCCTACCTGACTTGGTTTCACCAGCTGGGCTGTCGATTCCTTTCCTGAGGCTGCATGTACAGTGAGAGACAGACATGGCAGTCCAGAACACACAGCTGCCAGCTTGGCCATCTGGGTCAGAGAGATGGAAATAAGGAGCCTTAGTAGAGAAATAACAATTTAATTCCAGAAAAAAATCCAGATTTTACTGTTGTGTACATTTCAAGTATTTTTTTTAAACAGTGCAACTTTCAGAATCCTCTCCTGGCAAAGAGAGGAATCACTGAGAGCAGTTACTTCTAAAACACCAGGAAGACTTTTGTATTCAAAGCCACATTGATGGTTTCATCATCATTTTAAGTAACTTCTAATCTGCTCAACATACCCGTTTTGCAAGTCAAGAAGTGACTTCATTTCAGCAAAAACACTTCAACTTTATGTACAAAACTTCCTGATGTCACCAACCAGAACGGCGCCTCCTTTCTAATTCAGAGAACACATCACCTACTCTTTGGAATAAGTTCATGTCCACAGTAGATCACATCACACTGTAAGATCCCCTAATGTTTCAAATAACTTAAGATACAATGTAATACAGAAATATACTCTTCGCCATATGAGTTTGCCTACTCACAACATTGATTTGGAAAAAAAATACAGTATTTTACACTAGGTTCAAATTCAAATACAGCTAAATATAAAAATATTTCTACAGTATGTTTGCAGATCCAATCAGCATTGATGTTCAGCATGATGACATAAAACAGCCCATAAAGAAAATGCCCACAAGGAGGTAAAGAAAATCTAACTTAGATAAATTCTTATTCCTTCTGTATCACTAAAGACATTTCTGTTCTTTGATAGAAGGATTTCTGAAATTTCAAAAAAGTGAAAATAAATATGAAAAAAATTTCCAGCATCTACACAGAGAAGATGGTATCAATATGTCAGAGAAATTGAAGAGGAGGGAAATAAATTTGATTTGGGTAAATTTTTAATTCCCTAGCATAAAGTTGTATCACATCCTCACTATTTCTTCAGCTTTCAATTGAAAACAGCCCGTCAAAGGAGTGGAATTTGCTTGATAGTTCTTAACGGTAATAACAACAACAGGTGTAAGAATTCACACAATTAACATATGAATATAAAGAAACATAAAAGCACCACTGTGAATTATCTGAGGTTCATCAGAAAAATCATATACAGCTACTCATAACAAAAAACACTGTTATAATGCAAATAATGCCTATATAAGCTATATATGCATAAAATCACTATCTTACATAATTCTCTCCATATAATGTTCAACCTTGCTGATACCTCTATATTGACTGAGGTTGTGAAATAGTTCTTTTTCTACCCAGTTAGTCACACGTTGACAAAAAGCACAATGTTCCAGGCTGATTTACTGGAGCCCTGATGATCGAACACAATTTCTACATCTGAGTTTGCAGGTGCTCTCCTGAGGAGCATCTTGTCATCTGTCACTTAGGCAAGGCTCTCATATGACTTCCACAGCAGGAAAAAAAAACCCAAAGAAACGATAAAAATATGAAACCATTAACGTATTAATAACTGTCTTTACAATAATATGGTGTAATGCAATGCATCTGCAATGTGGGCTACATAACATGATATGAGATTGAACGGTAACATAACGTGGTATTAGACATTATTAACTATCTAAAAATATCATAATTCCATTATCCTATTTCAGTGCAAGATTCTTCAAGGACAACATACCAATTTTCAGTAGTTACAGCAAGGAAAACAAAAATTTAAAAGAAGGCACAAAGGCATAAGGAAGTTACATTTTTCCCTTGGCACACTGGATTAATTTGTTTCAGAAAGTCAAAACAGTGTTTACTAGGCTAAATATAAAAAAGAAGAAAGCTATACTACAAGTGATGACAGAAGAGCAATTCCTGATTGACACTAATTGCTTTGCTTTTGGATGCCTGTAGACAAACGCATGAATGTTTAAAAGGCAGCTCTACTACCTTAAATCTTAGGCTGCCTAGTTGTTCCCATTAAGGTTTCACTGTGTTTGACTGAAATCTCCAGCAACTGAAGAGAAAGAAATGTCACCTGCATTGCACTCAAGCGATCTCACTGCATTAAGCTGTCTAGTCTCCTCCTTACAACTATCCATACTAAAAAAGACACTTCCTAATAAATTCAAATGATATTATATAGTAAACAAGGAAAATCATACAATTTACACAGAAATCAAGCAATATTTACCTATTAGATTTTCTCAAAGGAGCTACAAAGAACTAGGAAATACCATGACTGTGTGGCCAAAAAAACACACCAAAAAAGAAGTGCACAAAAAATACAACTGCAACAGACTCAATACAAAAGCTATATGGTTACCTGATTTTACAGTCAGTCAGTAACTGCTCCAAAATGAAAATCCTTTCCAAAAATTCCAGCAATACTTTAATTTTGCTTTTAGTTCAGCATCTACTCTGTATTTCAATTGTTTTTATCCGAATTAAAGGTCTTTCCTAAGCCCTATGAAAAGAGAGGAAAATGACTCAATCCCTAATGGCAACAGAACTAAATACCTGCATTTTACTAAGGGGTCCTTTAAAAAGTCATGAGTTCTGACACAGCCATCCATTGAGGAATTCAGTGTGAATTCACAGATCTAAACTTCATCAGAATTACAGATATTGGAAATTACCACACACAATGCAGAAGAAAAGAAGAAGAAAAAAAAAAGGCCAATGGTAACAGTCAGAAGATTTCCCTAAAACCACTCTCATAGTCCCACCACTGCCATGAGACCACAACACATAATAGTAGGTTCTTTCTCAGAGGCATGAAAAGCATATCATTTTTTTCAAAGGATGAAAACTAACAGATGTGGCATTATATTTGATCAAAGGACTATGAATAGCAATTATTTGCTGAAGTAAGAAAATTCTTACTCAATTACGCTCTCCAGGAGAAAACCATTAGGGCTACATCTTTTTAAAACAGACCTAGAGTAAGACTAGTCAAAATACAGTAATAAAGCTGTCAAACCTACCTGGATAATTCTGGCTTTAAGTCTCTGCATTTCAAACAATCCGTTTCAAAGTAGTAGAAATTTTTCAAACATCAAAAATACAGATTCTTAAAAAAAAAGCAAAAGCAGTCACATGACCAAGAAGAATATGATGCATCTTAAATTCAAAACATACAGAATTAAAACTAAAGCATAATAAAAACATACACAACTCAGTAATTTACATAAATGTTCTTACTAAAACTTTGCTATTCTGCATAGACATTTCAAAAACTAGGGCATAAATAAGGAAGTCTGCCTGGATGGTGGGAGCAAACCTCATAAAGAAAAAAGGCAAATAATCAAAGGAATAGGCTACACGCAAAAGTCTGATAAATCTCTCTCTATATTTATAGTATCTTTTTTTCTTATACATAAAAATATATATCTACATAGAGTTGTATATAAAACCTGATCTATCACAAAACTTGAATCTACTAGCAAGATGAAAATATGATTACAGTTTTAGTAGCTCCTGCATGCTGTATCTTCAGTGGAGAGCTACTCTTAAACAAAAAAAAACAAAACAAAAAAAAAAAAAAAAAAAAGAAAAAAGGTGAAATAACAAACACTTTTGCTTTCTCTTACCACTCCTATGTCTTAGGAGAGAAAGCTGCCTCTGAACTTTTTCAGTTATTTTCCCCAGAAGTGCTGTAAGAGCACGCCGTAGGTAACAGTCAGAGATCATTGACGAGTAGGGTGTTAAGAAGACTTAAAAGTAAAAACAGAACTACTTTAACAGCACAAACTGTAACCAAAACAAAACACCAAAACGATTTGGTAGCATTTCTAATCAAGAAACAACTGGTGAGATTACTCACAGGACAAATACATATAACTGATTACAAATGGGTCTATAATGACAGAAAGGACATGAAAGCACCACAAACATACTGAAAACCACTGCTGCCAGCTACAGCCACCAAGTATCCCAAATTAAGTACCTGAAGGTTTACGGATTAAGACCTAATTGCAGAAAGGCACCAGGGAGAAGCAACCAAGTCTTGCTGGAGAGGACAAAGTTAAAAGCCCAACTAAGATGGAAGGAAAACCGCTACCCCAAATGACTCCAGCCGAAGGAACAGCTGCAGACTGTGCCACGCTGCTCACATCTAACCATCCTAACACCTGCTAAAAACACCACAGAGGCCTGCACGAAGCTCGTCTGTTCAGCACAAGGGGAGGTGAGGGTGTTCGGCAGGAGGCCCCAGCTCTGGGCAGGCGTGTCGCCCTGCCTAAACGCGGCATCTGACGGCACTGGGTTATCTCCGACACCCGCAACCTCGCCAGCCTGCGGGGGCAGCGGTGCCTGCGGCGCGACCAGCCTCAGAGACCCTGCTGCGGCACGAGGCGCCTGGCGAGGTCCCGCCTCCCCAGCGCGGGCTCTCGGGCACCTCTGAGGGGCCCACGCGGGTCCCGAGCGCGGCCCCTGCAGCAGCCAGGCCTTCCCGCCACGGCGCCTCCACGGCGGGCAGCCCGCGCCGCGGAGCGCCGCGGAGCCCCCCGGAGCCAGC